CCGTGCTGTAGTTTTCAAAGTCTAGGAACCAGTATTGAATATATTTGGTTATGGGGTCTGAAACTGCCCGTGTTAACAAATATATGACTATAGGACTCCCTGTTTGCTTACGGGTAACTGAATGTGCGAAGTTCATTGCAGTTTATTGTTCGTAGTAATTTCAAATCGTTTGGTTAAGTTAGCTCTAGAGAGGACGTGGATTGTTATATGCTGTCCTTCAGAAACGGTATTCACGGAAGCTTTATAAATAGTGCACTGTTTGCCTTTCTACAGAGAAGTAAGTCGCCGAATTCGTAATGTTTACTTGGTAAATTATATTTCTCCTCTTAATCATACTCTGATTTTCTGTGCTTTCCCATGGAAGTAAGGTTAATGGGATACAACCCTTTAATTATTTTCTTTTATGCATGTATGGGTTCATACTGTGTTAAACAATTGATGTCAGACCTATACGGTTCACGGCGAAAATGAGTGGGATACAGGAAGCAGAACGATAGGGCGGGTCACGTAATCTATGTTCTGACCGTTGTCAATAATCGCTTCTGAAATGCTTCTCTCGTAACCGGGTTTGTGATAGACGGTCATGACTAGTCGTTTTTGGATGCTCAAAGGGTGGTTGTTCGATTGGACCACCAGTGCATCAAATCAGATTCTTCTTGAGTTAAATCGGTGCCCAACTATAGTGAGTTGGCTATTGTTCCAAGTCTGTTTCCGGTGAATATTGCTCTTGCTTGCTCCATCTGAATGACACTATGGAAAAACGCCAGATTCACGCGTAAATTTAGTGCTGTTCTTGAGAAAAGTGGGAATACTCTAGTACTTATGCGGGGTTTTAGGAGTTGTGTATATAATGCCAACATAGTATAAATCCTTTTAAGTATTGTTCTATTGAATCGTTCTCAAATGCATTTATGAAGATGTCAGCTAATTGCCCTTCTAGTGGTGAGCGCATAGCGTGAATATCCTTCTGGCGATGTAGTTCACCATTGAAGAACAATTGTACCTTACAAGTGCCCCCGAATTTCTTTAATGAGTAATCCAATGTCCATATCACTGTGTCCGATATACTGACAAAAGAATAGATTGTCTCTTCGAGCCTTAACTTGTGACAATAGAGAGGCAGCCTTGGTCGAAAATGTTTGATATCTTGTGAGGTTGAGGGAATCGACTAATCAGCCGTATTTGAAAGAATACCACCAATGCAGCCAAAATAGTTGGAATTTCATTTGAAAAACTTAACACACATTCATTAAACTGTACCTTGAGCATATTGCACGAAAAAACAAAATTTTGAATCTCAAGGAAAGAAAGTGACACTCATATTCCAAGATTGAAATCGAGTTCACTTGTTTCTCGTTCTCTCTCATGCGCGCTCTGTCGGTGAGTACTTGGGTTAGTTAAGACACGGGGAGTTTGCTGTATACTCTTGATTGAGGTAGAATGTGTTTGAATCCGAAGCGGTTAGAATGACGGGGATAGAAACATGCTAATTCAGTGTGCAACGGGTGCTTCCGGTCTGAAAACATCCTGTGCACCAAGCTAACCCAGGAGTTTGTATGGCGATTTGAAAGTTTCACATAGATTGAGGAAACATGACTAATAGTCATAATACTGCAGAGAGACTTTAAAATCTTGTTTGATAAACTAGAGCCCAATGAAGCAAGAAAACTAAAACACAAGGTTATAAAAGGAGTAATAGCTAGTTGTGAAGTGCAGAATTGTCGGAGCTTTCGAGTGGCAGACGCCTGAGTTTACCGACTCAGTCATGGATATGTCTTGACAAGGTTCACTTGAGATAAGTTATTATTTAAAACTTTCGGGTACGTAGGACAGGAATAGTGTACAAAACTATGCAAAAATTCAAAGCATATACATGGATTTAAATTATTTGCGGACTGGTAGAAGAATATCAGATATCAGAAATATTGTTGGTGAAGAAATATGTTTCGAAGAGAAAGTGGTTTGCACAACACATCATCATCAGCATACTTCAGAACACGCGCGAGAGAAACAAAAGGAACCTCGTGAATGTTTGTGGAATATAGGTATGGAGTCGGAACAGCTCACTGCCGTAATCGGGAGTTTTGCACTAAGGGTCTGTATGGAACTTTTCAGTTTAGTGTTTTGTGATTTATTGGTAAATCAGATGAGTAACTCAGCCAATATGTATCTGGAACATAAAAAAATTAAGTTGTGCAAAGCAGTCTGAAATGGCAAGATTACGAAGCGGTTCATTTATTTTGAAGGAACACAACTCCAAATGGGTCTGCAGCAGCGGAACAGTCAGAATAAAAAGATGATCGGAGCACCCCAGAATTTTAAAACGGCTCCGCATTGGAATTGGTGCTACGATTTGTACGGAAGATGGATCAGTGAATGTCGAACAAATGCGAAACCGAGAGCGTCAACATTGACATTTTGCTCTGACAATTTTTTCTTTTACACTCAGAGAAGCTCGATGCATTGTCACAGGTGTTTGTTGTTGCCGCTCCTCAGCATTCGATTGGACAATAATTCTTTGTTTCGGCCTTGAAAAGCCTGCAGAAGTATGTTATAACTTACACATTGTAGCACTTGCATGCACGTTACTTTCGGATCGGCAAAGATTACGTCCACTTGTTGACAAGGCGAAAGTTTCCACGGGATTACGCAATTGCTTGCTTCATTGACAAAACCGATATCTACTGCTTTCAGTTCCATTTTGTATGATTTTGAAAACCTGCATCCACTAATATGGTGTAAAATCCTGAAAATTCACCCATCCGGATGCATAAAGCAACAACTGACTTGAATTAAACTTAGACTTCCAGTAAAGGATAGGCTACTCTACCATGGAACACATGCAGACTATTAACCAAGCGACTGCAATTAGAAAAGGCATTAAGTATTCCGACAAACAGGAAACACATGTGATTAGTTACGAGGGAGAAGGTGGAAGCCACAATGAAACCCTTTTTAAGAGGTTCTTTGTGCAGCACAACATTTAGGGGTCGGAAGGTGTGAAAACGATATGTAATCAGATGAAAGGCAGGATTTATAGGCATGCTGAATACACGTTAGGTTGAACTAAGGATAAACAGTGTTTGCTAATAGAAACAGGGGGGTGGGGTGGGTTATGGTGCAAAAGAAAAATAGGCTAGCTATTTAGCGATCACTCTTTTTAGTATGGAACCACTGGTTGGAAGAGAGTGACACAGATTAGTCATAGCTAATGACAAATGCTCTTATGAATAAAGTTCCCGACCAAATGCTAGTTTGAATCAAACAATTGAAAAGTGAAAGGAATGAATAAATCAAAGAAGGAAGTGCAATGCAATTGCATACTGGAAGGGACCCGAAGTTAGTTCAGATAGCTTTTGTAAAACGTAAAAAATCTGACATTGCACGATCAATCATTCAGTACTATGAAAACGGTCCTGAAAAATAACAGAACTTGCCACTCGTATGTGTTACCTCTACCCCCTTTTCTCTTTTCGGTTTTTCTATCCTATCGGTGAACTAGAGTATATTTTATATCCGGACTCAACCTCTATTCCAGCCTACAGCCTACACAGGTGTTCATATGAATTTGTTACTGAAGACTACAAATCAGACCCCACCGTTTTAGAAACCGTGACTGAATTTTAGTTCTAACGAATGAGAGCATAGCCATCTTGGTCATGGAGGAGGTTACTAAGAGCAGTTTGCTAACCTGCGTACTTGCATTTTTGACCTAAGACGGGCAATGAGAAGTCCCGATGCACCATCAAGCAGATGTCGTGGGTTCGAGACAAATTATTTAATCCCGAGGGTAATAGTGATGCACAGTACCATTTACAAGTGAGAGTGTAAGGGTTAGCATGTAATGGAAGCGCAGTCTATTGAACTGCGTGCTTATATAGAAGAATTTGTGCTGTATACCAGCGCTCTATAGATACTGTCAATCCAAAACCCCGCAAACATATTGTTGCTTCCGTTTTCCCGTATTGTAAGCAACTTTAGATCTCAAGGTTTCTTAAGTTGTGAAACAACATTATGCACAGCAAGGTGAAGGATATATCTTTTTGTTCCGAACATATTACCGGTATTTAAATGCAATATAAACCCAAGATAGGTGTATCCGTACGCTTACGCTCTACCTAGTGTGGTTCCCCTGGTTTGCATCTAAACTACGAACCAATCGCCTAACCGGGGCACAGTCGACTCCTGTGTTCGTGGTATGGTTGGTTGTCACGTCTTGCTTCGTTTATCGGAGAAAACGATGATTTCTCGACGTATCTTTTTGATTTTTTTTGTTTGGCTTAGTGTCATAGTTGTGATATGAGTTTGTTTGAGTACCGGTAGGATAATTAGTTCTTATTCGTCGTTCGATGGATTAAAAGTAACCCTCTAGCAGGTCGAGTAAATTTGTGATCATCGGTTGTCAGAATTGATATATTGTTGGCTAGAACGAAGCCCCAGATGCAAATCTTTGTTTGCCGTTGAATCTGACTGAGCACTTCGGGAATGGAATAGTTTACGCAAAGGTCTTAGTTTTGTTTAGCTAGAAAATCTATTGTTTCTCATTCATCTGTCGAGCTCTTGTAAGTATCGCGCGCGATATTTTTTCCCCCAGTGTCTCATTTTGCGATTACTCTACTTTCCATGTTTACTTGGTGTTCTTTCTGATTTCAGAACCCAGTTAATTCATTTAGTAAACGAGTTGCTGTCTCAGTCAATCTCCGTTTTGCCGGATTTCCGCAACCACACACCATTACGGTCGGTTTTGTTTCATTCTTGCCTCGGACTACTCAGAATGGCTCACTCGAAAACACAGACAAAGCGGTGGACACGAACTCACTCACAGCTAGCCTGTATGGCTCTTCATTTGTGTAATCCTGGTCACACGGAGCATGCCACACGTTGGATTGATTTTTTGATGTCGTTCCTTCGTGATCTGGACTCGGCCCCAGTTTGTTTACTCAATGGATTTCAAGCTTTTTTNCCTGATCTCCGTTGATCTGCACCGGGCCTCCATCGTCGATCATCCAGATTCCAAAGTCCCCTGTCACTTCTTTTGTTTGATTCAGGCATTATGCCAATGCATGGATTGTCTGTCTCCAAACACGTGTCAACAGTTGACTCAGCTGTTCGACTCCCACTTACCCAGAGCAAGCACTAGTTTCGTTCCCTCTATTCGTTACGCTGTTTTTACACTATGGCCTAGTGTCATTCGTCGATGCACAAGTGTTACGAATACAGTTTCCAAAGACAATGTTCTTCCTATTGTTTTGTCCTTGATGCATGCTCTGCCACCCACAGAAGTGCATGATACCCTTGCCACTCCACTTTCGGTTCTCATGGAAGTGACTATCTCAAATCCAACTCGATTCGAACCTTTCATCTCTCTCTGTTGTCTGATTGATCGGATTCACGAAAGCTCGACTAATGCCATCCTGAGCACAATTTTGGCCGAGTGCATTTTCCGTATTGTCATTTTACCGCTTTCCACACGGAATGCGTGGTATCATTCAGACCGACCAGCTCCTGGTTGGTATCAGTGGCTCATTCGTCTCTGGGCTAAATGTGTCCGTCTGATCCGTCTGGAATTATCCGAACTGGAACCAGAGCAATTGCTTCTTCCTATCCGTGGTTCCAATCCTTTGACCAAACCGTATCATGTACGCAAGGCAGTAAATGAATCGCCCGCTCTGCATCAAACCATCATGGAGTAAGTTGAGTGTGTTGGTAAGACATATCTGTTTTATTATTTGCGCGTTATTTTTCTAAAAGCACGGATCTTTTATTCTACTGTTTGTAGCTTTTTCTCGGTTTGTAAATGATCTTTCTATGCTATAATTTGTGGTCTGGTCCTATTATTATGCATGCATCAACTAATCAGAAGCCAGCGATTCGACGCGGTGAAGATTGATCATTTTTGATTTGTCCGTTGTTTCTTCCCATCCTGGCGTAGTTTTCCTTCCTTTTTCTAAGGGGCTCTAAAATTCATCTTAGCTGTGGGAACACACATTCAGAGGCGAACAATTGTTTTCATTGATTCATCTTCCAGCCTATACAGATCAAATAAGCAAATGCCATGTTGAACGGGATAGTAATTCAGTCACGGTGATTGATTGAGAGAAGGGGGAGGGGTGCCACGTGTTTCACCCCCCCACCACAACACTGCATCAACACGTCATCCATGCGATCGATCTTTGGCCACGGTAGGTGAATGATGTAGGCCAATCTCTTTTGTGCTGATTTAGGCTTCACTTGGTTACCCGAATCTGCTACGTGAGCAAGAATAGCGCTTCCTGTGACATCTCTTCTACCGTATTGAAGCTAGCGTGGACAGTGCTCTTTAATTCGCTGAGACAGTTGCTTCGCCGTTCGGCCATTGTAGGTTGCGTTATAAACGCAGCTGCATTTTCTACGTGTACAGATGCAGCGAGACTATCCTGGAAACGTCGTGCAAACCTTTGTTTTTTACTTCCCTATTCAAAGATTAATCTCTAGCATAGTTGAAATCGTACCAACAGTAGACGGCAATTTGCGATTAAACTGAAGCCGGTTGGTAGACATTTTCACCTCATTCAAAGGAAGAACAAATTTACTGTGCGATAAGTATTGGATCCGGTGCTAGCATGCCAACACATTGACCATGTGCCGTGAAAGCCTGGCTTTTTGGGTTCAACAAATGCAGTGCATCCCTTTATCGATTTGTTCGGGAATTGACCCTTGAATTGTACAACCAGAAGTTGCATGGTTGACTTGCTGAATGATTGCCAATAATTGTAGTTAAAATAGCAGCACAAGATATCCGGACATTTCGCTTCCTTTGGTCAATGCTCAACAAAGGGTTTTCCATTAGGTTAGGTTTTCCGCATATTGAGCAACCTAATCTTGGCAATCATTTCCCATGTGATACGGTTTCTATTTTTTCCCCGGCTTTAGTAACTTAAACAAGTTTCAAAGTTTCATTATTGGCGATTTAGAAAGCTAACGCTTATCGTGTCCGATAGGATTTTTACAGATTGTTTCAGACACCTTTACAAATAGAAAATAACAATAATAATATGCATTATCACTCACAGATGTTGAAATCTCAAGTGTTTCAATGCTCTGTTAAGCTGCGATGCAAATCGTTCAACTGTAAGAGTATACACAAAAAGATGATGAAGAGAATTCCATGCATACACGCTCTGATTGCAAACGAGTGATGCCGGTAATCTAGGGTCCGCAACTTCAATGTATATCCCCTGGAATGATTATTTTGGGATAAAGCCAACACAGAATGGCAAGGTTGTTTAGGTTGATGTAGTATGTAGTTTGTCAAGATTAGATCCTCTCGAAGTGGCCGGTACTGAGACGAGTAAAGCCCCAATATTTGCCGTCTTTCGGAGTATGTTTTGTCATTCTAACTTACCACTTTTTGCTGACCATTGCGGACGGTTGGAGCCTTCTAGTCGCAGTTCAACCATGGATTCCATACTTGAACAGCTTATTCTGTGTGACCGAATAAACGCTGATAGCAAGCGTGGGAGCAGTGTTATCTCGAACTACCCTAAAGCATGTTTAAATTATCCAACTTCCTTTAGAGCCCTGGACGATGCTCTGGCACAATGTGTATGTGCCTGTCATCCTATGTCCTCCTGTACCTCAACTTCCAAATCCCTTTCATCAATGGCATGTGTTTGATATTTGACTCTCCAGAACATAGGAGAAACGAGTCTTATGCCGCTTGAAAATAACTTTATATTTCGAAACTTTGAATTCATATTCATTGGCTATTGACCATCGATAGGCTGGCTTCATTGATCGTTTCTCGGAGTGCCAAATACTCCTCTGGATTTGTTACTGTTCTCCAGATTTTAGCGTCGGCTGCGAGTAGTAGTGTATTTGGCTCAAGGACCTGTAGTAAGTCGTTTTTAACTGCAAGAAAACGAAGAGGCTTCAGCACGGATCCTCGAAGAGCCCCTCGGACAGCGGCGATAAGTCCAGATAATGAATCACAAACACGAACCGGCATGGTCATTTGTCAAACAAGTTCCTTGATCCAGTCGAGAAAAAACTCTTAATCTATAAGTGTAAAGTTTTCTCGTTATAATTTGGAGGTTTACTCAATCAAATGCTTTGGAGAAGCCCAAATAAACTTCGTCCAATGGCTCGCCTGTGCAGACGGTTTTTATCCATCCATCTCGTACTAGAAGTAGATCTGTGGTACACGATCTGTGCTGAGCTGTACTTCATCAACAGATCTGCCACAATAGCCTCCATGACTTTCAACAGTATCGGAATAAGTGTAACAGGGCGGGAGTTGGTGGGATCACTACGAGAGTCCTCTTTGTAAATGGATGAAATCACCCCTTCTTTTCAAGACTGCGGAATTACCACTTTATCGAACATCCTTTGGTAAAGAACAGCCGGAGGTTCAGATGTCACTGGCTAGTGAAATGAAAGTCAGAGGATGCATGTTGTCTGCGCCTGGGAGTGAATGTGTACGCAAAGTTAGTGGTTTTGCTTTTACCATTTAACCGTCAAAAGCTATATTAACCAGTGACGAATGTGGTTAACAAGGTAGTATGCTTGAAATCTGTAATGCCTTGTGTCATTGCAGTAAAAACTGGGTTTTGAGGAACTCTGCTGCTTCTATCGTTGTAGTTGTAACATGTCCAAACGATTTCAATGCTGGTATTCCGCATTTCACCTTGTATAGTTGATATGTTTATAAGGCAGTTTGGGTTGGAAATGCACTTTTCGAACCAGGATTTCTCGGTACTGGTCCTGTCGCCCAAACTTGGTACACTGATTTCACCTCAAGGTGTGATTATTCCCAGTTTCGATAGATCGTCATCTTCTGCATCCCCTCCAGGAAAAGTCCCTTAGCTCTATCCATTTCTTTAGTTGTCTGCGAATGGGTGATTGCCAACTTTCAGATTTAACACAAGTTTTCTAACTTGTCGCAGCCGTTATTACTTTGGTAAGATATTCGGTGAAGCCTTTCCGTGCCACCAAAGGATCGTGATCGTCTTCTGGGAGGACCCATTGCTTAATTACTGCCAGGTTTTGCAGNGTCTATGGTGACACTGCTTTCCCGATTTAGCTGTCTCAAGATGCGGGAGGTTGGCACACGACACCCATTTGACACCTATCGCGTTTGGAGAGTCTTTGCAAACACCATAATGAATCGAGGGTTCATTTGGAATATCAAGCTGTTCACACTGTAGATTGTTTCCATGGTAAAGTAGCACTTTACCGCCTCGTGTAGGACGATCACATCTGAGCAGTAACATACTGGATATACCTAATTCCGAATCGAGAATATCGGTGGTCAGGTAGGTTTCGGTAATAGCAACAGCATCGCACCGATTGTTTTTCCAATGAAGCTCCATTTCGGAGAATTGGTTAAGGTAATTTGGTATAAAAACATGAAAGGTATTTTCGGTACATAAATCTACCTGGGTATGTAGTGTTGTTTATACCGACCAACTTGCTGTCAGCTAACATTATTTTGTAGAATTGGTTTCATCGGTGCTGCTTGGTGAATGTCGAGCGATGGAAACCGCACTAATCGAGGAAGGTGGCGCGTTAGTATTGGTTAGTATTGGACTTTGTTGGGATCCATTATTATGCAGTGGTCTTAGGTGACATTCCGGCGGATCCATTTTTATATTCTCCTTCCACGACTGCGATACACAGTTGGCCATTTCTGGCGTTCCGAAGGTTACTTTCATTATCCTCGGGGAGTCCCCCTGATGGGTTGGTGAGCTTGTTGGATGACTAATTGCTGTGGTAAGAACCTGGGTACAATTAATTGGCTCTCGAATGAACCCCCATTCTTTTCAATCGTTTTGTTGACATCAGGATTCATCTGGATCGTCCAATTGATGGACTCCAAGACTTGAAGCAACCGGTTTGTTCTCCGAGTATTGTGCATTTGTTGGGTTAGTGCGGTGTCTAAAAGTACCCTTGATCTACCCGAACCTTCCTTGAGAACGTAACTAGAGAAAAGAACTCTTTCCAGGTCCTTCTTTTATGAAAATTTTATGGTAGTCGATCGTGATTCCCCAGCATGAGTAGACGATGGATGACCAAACGGACGCATGATTCCAAACTGATGAA